CCTCCCTCTTCCCTACTGATTCCATACCAAACCATTCATCTCCATAAGCAACTGCTTTCCCCAAAACTCAAGTTTTTGAGTCGGAAGTCAGCGTTTGTCCCAAGATATACATCACATCCTTCCAAGTAAGGTCATAAAGCAGAGTAACACCTTTAAAAGCTTTAATATATTTTTCTGGGTCCTCTAAATAGTCTCCCAGATCCTCCTTGATTCTTTGTATTTCTTGATAAGAAAAAGGCTTATTAACTCTCATAGACTGATTATTTCTCCCGCTGGGTGCTTCATGAAGAGGCAACAGCTTGTGTGGCTGTTCCTCAGTCTCTCTGGCTGCTCTGCGCATGTGATCCCAGGGATAGATTGGAGAAACCTGCTTTTCTTTATCTTTTTGTCTCCTGTCCTCCATCTCACCTAGCAAAGTAGGAGGACAGGAGGGAGCTGAAGGAGTCACACCCAAATCTATACCCTTAGGACACAAGTCTGGCATATTTCGCAGACAGACAGAAAAAGGGCAACACATATGCTACTTCTACCCATTTCCCTTGTTTTCTACAGAACTGGTCTAATTGTAAAACAGTATTATACTTAAGAGACCCTCCAACCGGCCACCGCTCGCCATCCTCCAAAGGATACTGTGGCCTCGCAGTATCACATAGGAAGACCAGGTGTATCTTCTTTAAGCCCTGGGGATCAAATCTATCCCAGTTTTTCAGGATACAGTTCAAAGGAGTGAGGCTGGAATTGTTAGCTCCCATCTTGTCCTGCAGAATCCCGGACGAGCCCCCAAGATGAAAGGTTGTTGCTGAATCATGCAAAGACGCCGGGGAAGACGAATTCAATCCGGGGCCAGAGATGAGGCTTGATCGCTCAGAGCTTTTGTGTAATAAAGTTTTATTAAAGCATAAAGGAGACAGAGAAAGATTCTGACTTAGACATCAGAAGGGGGCAGAAAGAGTGGCCCCAAGTATTAGTTTAATGTTGAGTATTTCCCAGTTCACATGAACCTGAACTTCATTTAGAATTGTTTGATTTGTAAGCACTTACTTTTCCTTAGATCAGTTAAATTTGAGCTCATTTACAAATTAACCTCAGTGATATTAACCAAAGACACACACTAATCCAGACAGAGATCTCCTGCCTCTGCCCCCACACCACCTTTTTTCTTAGCTTGAAGTTCTACTCGTTTGCCCAAGGCTGAAGTCTTAGGCAAAGTGCGCTGTGTATCTCGAGGATTGAGAAGAGTTAATTTCAGGCTTTTTCCTAGGCATGCTTCTGTTTTCTCAGGTTAGAGCTTAAAGTATCTCAACATGCTAGCTTTTTTCTAAGTGCATATGCAGAAAGAACCGGTTTTGCGATGTCAACAAGGTTTCATTTCAAGCCGCTTTCTCCAGAGTCTGAAGAAGATCGCAGCCGTGCCGTCTTTTTCCCTCTCTGATAATGGTCTCATAGCTAAAATTTAAAGTGAGTGATCTAGAGAATGCTCACCTTGGCCCTAATAGCAGGGGCAGACTGACTGATAAGATGTTATCCCAGCACAGACAGTCCCTCTCGGAGGTGCGGGTCTTAGTTTGATCCAAAGGTTCTGAAGGACTGAGGGAACTTGAAGGAGTTGGGAAACGTTGATTCCGCCACCGCTGCCCCACCTCACTGATAGAAGAGGATTCTTTAAAATATGGGAGTTTTTTAGAAGATCTGGTGGAGGAGATATGGCGGGGAGGGGTCGCGGGGGTGAAGCCACAGCAGAAAGGCACGGGCGCTGTGAGCCCCTCAGACGTGGGCTCTGAAGGGGGCTGTGAGTTGGAAGGCGGGGCCTCTGCATCGCCTCCTGGTTTCTGACACTAGAGCTCAGGTTGGAGGACTGTTACTTAGTGTCCCAGTGAGAGGCTGTTCCTCCTGGCCCCTCAGCTGTGCCCAGGCCGGGCTTCATTGCAAAAGAGAGGGCGCCTTTTCTCTTCCAGGCTTGCAGGTCCAAAGTTTCTCTAGTTTCTTAGAATATAGCCAAGGGAATGAGTCTGAGACTTACCAGAACCCATGCGCAGCCTATATCCTGGAGGACGGGGGTACTGAGAGTCACCAGCCACAGACAGGCTTGTCTTGTCCCCGTGAGCCCTCTGTGTGACTGAGGCACCACGTGACTAGTGGCACGCATGGCGGGGTGTCCCGACCGTTATGCCTGACAGTGAGAGGTGACCCTCGAGCACGCGGCTGAGACATGAACCGGATGACCAGGCGCCCTGCGACTTGGCCAGGAAAGACAGGAAAGAGACCCCAGAACCGGCTGGGTGGCTCATGATTTGGTGATTGCCTGAAATGTGGCAGGCCCTCTTTGGGATGCCTCAGAGGCAGCTCCTGGCCTCCAGGAAATGAATCCAGACCGAAGGGGGAAACGTGAAAGTAGCAGAGAAAACAGGCTGAGGAATGCAGCTTGTAGTCCTACTGGTAAGGCGGCAGCCACGAGGAGCAGGCTCGGTATTCTGCTTGAACCAGTATGTGCCTGGCCGTGCACAGAAGCTGTCTTGCCGGGGGCCTGTGGTCTAATAGCCTGGTCTGTTCTGTGATCCCCTAATCCTGTCTTTCAAGTCTTCAAGCAACCGGCATCCTAATGGCTTCTAAGCGCCGGACTCATGCCCACACACTCAGTCGGTAAAGGATCCACCTGCAGTGGGGGAGACCTGGGTTCAGTCCCTGGGTCGGGAAGCTCCCCTGGAGGAGGGCATGGCCACCTGCTCCTGTGTTCTTGCCTGGAGAATCGCACGGACAGAGGAGCCTGGCGGGCTGCAGCCCCGGGGTCGCCCAGAGTTGGACACGCCGGAGCGGCCGGCCACACACAAGCACAGCCTCCCCTGATGAGTGAGGGAGGGGAGGGGCGTCTCCCTCGCTGCGGTGGCAGCTGCGGGGGCCCCGCAGAGTAACCCTGGCCAGAGTGTCTCAGTTGCTTCCACAGCCACTCGCCTGTTACCAGAGGGTTTGAGGAAATGGAAGTGAGAGGCTAAAGGAGAGTCAGGGGGAATCGCCAGGAGACATATGGGCCCCCAAACGTCGTGGTCTGTGCACAAGTTGGAAAAGAATTTCCAGACACGAGGCGCAATGAGAGGAGAATAGTGTTTACTGGCGCAGGAGATGCTACTAGAGCAGTGGGCTGGCTCATGGGAGAGCCGATGCCTTTCCTGGGTTACTAGCCAATTTTTATCGTCTCAGGACAAAGAAAATTGCTGCTAGAAGGGTGGCATTCGGTGACTGGTTAGAGTAGGTGTCTTCACCTAATACGGGGTCAGGGAACTGGCCAGTAAGGGGTGGGGGCTCATGGCAACTGTTGCTGTGGGGCCCAGTCAGTCCCAGAGATGGCCTGGGTTCTGGGTTACAGAGCCTTTGTACAAACCGCACACGTCTGACCGTGGTCTGGGGCTCCAGAAGGTGTACTGCGGCTCGATCTGTGACTCAAGATGGGCTCCATCCTGGCCTGTGTTCCAGGCGCACTTGAGAAGAAAATGCTGCTGTGGGAAGGACATTCCTTCCAGAATTCCTTCAATTTTATTGACACTAAATATCAATTAAGTCTGTCTGTGTAATGTGTCATTTAAGGTTTGTGTTTCCTTATTCGTGTTCTGTCCGGATGATCTGTTCATGGGTAGAAGTGGGGTGCGAAGGTCCCCTGGTTCCCTGGTGGTCCTGTGGTTAGGAGCCCACCTTCCGGTGCAGGGGACTCGGGGTCCATCCCGGTTTCAGAAACTAAGATCCCACGTGCCACGGAGCAACGACGTGCCCTCAGCCCTGAGCCTGTGCGTGACAGCCGAGACGCGACACCGCCAGTGAGTGCTAAAATGTCCATAAATGCCTGCAGTCCCCCAGGAACGCCGGGTTACTGCTGACTTGCCCTTTGATGGCTGTTGGCGTTTGCCTTATGCATCAAGGTGCTCCTCTGTTGGGTGGATAAACACCTGTAATTGTTGCGTCTCCTTGGATTGAGTCCTCGGTCGTTATGTAGTGTCCTTCCTTGTCTTCTGCACGTCTTCATTTTAAAATCTGTTTCATCTGGCATGAGCATTGCTACTGCCACTTTCTTTTGATTTCTATTTGCATGGAATACCTTCTTCCAGCCCCTTGCTTTCAAAGTCTATATGTATCCCTAGGTGTGAGGTGAGTCTCTTGTAGACAGCATATATTGGGTCTTGTTGGTTAATCTGTTCAGCCAGTCTGTGTCTTTTGGTTAGAGCATTTAATTCATTTACATTCAACATAATCATCCGTCTATGTGTTCCTATTACCATTTTCTTAATTGTTTTGGATTTGTTTTTGTGGGTCTTTTTCTTGTTTCCTATTTAGAGAAGTTCCTTTGGCATTAGGCTAGTTTGGTGGTGCTGAATTCTCCAGCTTTTGCTTATCTGTAAAGCTTTTGATGTCTCTGTCAAACCTGAATGAGAGCCTTGCTGGGGACGGTAATCTTGGTTGTAGGTTTTCCCTTTTGTCACTTTAAATACATCCTGCCACTCCCTCCTGGCCTATCTTCCAGCCCGCCTCTTGGTTCTTCTGCCTCACTTATCCAGTTTGTTTGTTCCTTGTGGTGTCTTTTTCATTTCAGTTTTTGTCTTACTCATCAGTGTCTGTTTGTCCTTTAGTTTTTCTAGGTCCTTAAACACTTGTATCTTCTCGATCCATGCCTCCATTCTTTTTCCGAGTTCTTGGATCATCTTTACTAGCATTACTCTGAATTCTTTTTAGGTAGATGGCAGAAAAGGTTAGGTCTCATAAATTTTAGTTTGCTGCAGTTTTATGCAGGGAATCATTGTGCGTACTGGAAGTCCTTTGAAGTGCAGTTCTTGCTAGGCTAGTGAGGTACAATCAAACAGAAGTGACCTTGGCTAGAGAGTTTCCAGTTTTGAAGTTTCTGTTGCTGGTGTTGAAATATACAACATTAACATATGTAAAATACAATTGTTCTGTTTACTTCTGTTTGTATAAACATAGGTTATATGTTGTTTAATCAAAATATTTCCTCTTGGCAGTGGACTCTCGAAAAATTGACCAGGAGGGAAAAATCCCAGATGAAACTTTAGAGAAACTGAAGTCCCTGGGGCTTTTTGGAATGCAAGTCCCAGAAGAATATGGTGAGTAAAGGGAACCACCACGCAACTGGTTCAGCTTTTAACAAAGCCCTCTGTATTTGTCCATGAAACGGTTCTGTTCTGGAAAGGTGGCCTTTGAAAATGCACTAAGTCCAAGGTCAGGCTGCAGAAAATGCAGAAATTAATCGAGCTGCCCTTTGTGGGCTGAATTCGGGGGGGGCTGGCTGGTGAGTGCGGGGCCTGGCTAAGGGGCCTATGGCAGGAAAAGCTGATGAGCTCTGTGCTGCCCCCCATGGGGGTTCGGGGTGGGGACGGACCTACACAGAGTCTGTGCTCTCTGCGCCCTGCCGGGGAGGAGGGCTGGGTCTCACCCCCGGGCCCGATGGCAGTGCGGCCTCTCTGGCGGAGGAGCGGCCCCAGGCCGCCAGCGCTCTGCGTCTGAACGTTTCAGAGGGGCAGAACATAGACCCGCGTGGGCACCAGCCCGGACATGGCCCAGTGCGCGCGCTCGGGATCCTCTCCTACCAGCATGCCACCCCCCTGCCCCAGCCTCCTGGCTCTGTGAGCCCTCCCCCGAGCCCTGGCTGGGGCAGCCTCCTGCTTCTCAGCTCGGGGTCGGGGGTTTGGGGCGGAGAGCTGCTGGTACTGAGAGCCGGGCACGTCCATGGCTGTGAGCACAGTGTCCACACTGGGGGTCAGTTTGCACAGCGAGGCCCAGACGCTGGTTTCGCTCCAGGGCGAAAGTGCAGTCCGCTCCCCCCACACACCCCACGTCACAGCCCAGGGTGGGGACCCTCGTGCCTGTAGAACATGTCCCGCTGGGACCCAGGCGGGAGCGGCTCCAGTCTGAGACAACCTGAGATTTTAGGACGAACTAGTGTGATGCCGCGGTATCAGGGGGATCTCCGTCTGTGTGTGTGTCTGTCACCGTGTTTTAAGCTGTTACAGGGTGTCTCCTGCTCATCTCCCGTTAAGTACCCCCTCCCACATTTCCAAATTGACAGTAATAAAAGAGGTTACGGTCTATGGGGGAGACATGACATCATCTCCGCAGCTGCTCCGCTGGTGGCGGGATGCGGCGCAGGCCTCAGGCGCACCTGCAGCCTGCGGGATCAAAGCCCTGCGCTCTCCCCAGGCCTCCAGGCCCGGTGGGGTCCTTTGTCAGCAGCTCCTAGGCCCCAGGAAATGTCTGCCGCAAAGTGGGGGCCGCGTCCAATATTAGAACAGAGCAGGAGGCTGAGCCGGAGCGTGGTGGTTGGCCTGTTGTCAGCTGCGGAAAGGACGCTTGTGGAGGAGAGTTGCCAGACGCAGCTGGCTTGGTGATGGCGTCTGCTTCCCCCAGGGTCTTAAAGAAAGCACTTCCTGATTCGGGAGAAGTAGTTGTTGCTTCCACACAAGTTTGTGCGAAACTTGAACACGTCTTTTTGTGTCTCTGTGTTTTATGCCAGCGCGCGTGTGTGCGCGTGTGTGTGACTGCACATCTCCATCCCTTACTCTGTTTTATGAGCTCCTCTTGAGTGTGAAAATGCTCTTTCATGAGATGATGAAATGGTCACATTTGGAACTATTTCATTTTCTTTCTTTCTTTCTTTTTCTTTCCAACTCTTCCTTGGAAAATTAAGGCAACTACAACCTTATGTTCACGCCCAAAATAGTTTTCAGAAATTTTTCCAGTCTGAAGCATTTTGAAGTCTGGTTGGAAATTTCTGCGCCCAGTTCTCCTTCCTGCCCTTCAGCACCCCCCAGCGGCCTCACTCACCTGTTTTCTGTCCCCACTCTTTGTCCCCCTGCCCATGATTTCACTGATGCTTTCTTGAAGAAGTCTTCCCTCATAGCTCAGCTCCAGTATTCTTGGGCTTCCCTTGTGGCTGAGCTGGTAAAATATCCACCCGCAATGTGGGAGACCTGGGTTCAGTCCTGGGGTTGGGAAGATCCCCTGGAGAACCCACTCCAGTGTTCTGGCCTTGAGAATTACATGGACTGTATATAGTTCATGGGGTTGCAAAAAGTTGGACACAACTGAGCGACTTTCATTTTCTTGAAGAAAAGTGTCAAGATTTTTTTTTTTAAAGAAGCAAAACAGACATGGGTATATGAAACAAGTAGGAACGAAGTGTCTTGATTGACAGGGGGCTGTGGCAGGGTGCTGGCTTCCCGGGGGACACTGTGCCCCTGCACTGGGGCCGTGCGGGGGCCCAGAGCCTGCTCCGCCCCTTGGGTGGTCTGTCAGATGCGCTTGAGGCCACCCCACCACCTCTGGACGGTGAAGACGAAACGCAGGATACACAAGTTCTCTGGGGTTTCTGCTTTTTCACTGTGTTTGTCCTTTTGCTCCTAAAAGTGATTTGCCCCCCAGGGGATGTCTAGCAACATTGGGAGACATGTTTTACTGTCAGACCTGTGGGGAAGGGGGAACCCCAGGCGTCTTGTGGGCAGAGGCCAAGGATGCAACTCGGCATCCTGCAGGGCCTGGGGCACCCCTGCAACACACCGGCCCCCACGGCAGCATCCGCAGTGCAGAGACCTGTCCAGACGCCGACAGGTCCTGGGGGTGGATGTGGAACACGGCTCATGTCCACAGAACCCGGGATCTGCTGTTCACAGCATTTCAAGTGACTTTATGTATATAAGGACTTTTTTATATTAGAGTATGCATCTGCATGTGCTTATTATAAAGCTAGAAAAGGTCTGAAATGATGTAGGCAGAAATGCACTGAGTGATAAGTTAATGGGTATTTTGTTTTCTTTGTAGCTGTCTATGTTGTGTTCCTTATAAAATGGTGAGCGGACTGTACTTTACGGCACCTTTTCTGGGAGGAATCTGGAGAGTAAGCGAGGATGTTCTGTTCCCGCCCTAGGTGGCCTGGGCCTCTCCAACACCATGTACGCGCGGCTGGGAGAGGTCATCAGCCTGGACACCTCGATCGCCGTGACTCTGGCGGCTCACCAGGCCATCGGCCTCAAGGTCAGGGTGTGGGTTAGTGGGGCACATGGGGGCGGGGCAGCTGGCTCCTTTGGAAACCGCCTCCTCCCCATCGCCTGACCCACCCGTCCAGGCCCCGGTCAGAGGCCGCCGCCTCCATGGAGCCTGCCTGCACCGTGGGCGGGCAGTGCTCCCTCGGGGCCTGAGCGTGTCTGCCCTGCTGTTGGTGCTGTCCTCCACTGGACTTGGAGCATCTCAGAGCAGGCCCCCCGGCCCACAGCTCAGTCCTTAGGGTGTTTTGCTCAGCGTAGGAACCGAGGGGGTGGAGCGCCCCCAGGCTCGGCCGTGGCTCTGACCACCCAGCTGGGCAGTGGAGAACCTGCCAGGGAGGCCGAGTCCCGCCCCAAGGCTGTGGCGGGCCACCCGACCTGTCCCTGTGCGGGGGCTCCCTGACCCCCCAGCAGCTCCCCATTTATTTTCTGGGGCTGCCAGCTCCGGGCAGCCCCCTCACGTGAAGGAAGCATGTTCTGTGAGCACGTGGCACCCATTCTTCTCGCCGCCACTGAACAAGCCGTGTGTGTCGCAGGGCATCATCTTGGCTGGCAGCAAGGAGCAGAAGGCCAGGTACCTGCCCAGGCTGGCGTCCGGGGAGCACGTGGCCGCCTTCTGCCTGACGGAGCCATCCAGGTCAGCCCCGCACCCCCGTAGCCTCTCTTCCTGTCCACTTCCCGCTCTCGTCTTCACTTCCCTTCTTCTCCCTGGTGATCTTTACAGACGAGAACAGGCCCGTCAGCGCCTGTTGTGTAACTGTTTTATGCTTTGCAACCCTCCTTTTCGGCTTTCCTGGAGGCTCAGTGCTAACTACAGAACCCACTTGCCAATGCGGGAGCCCCAAGTTTGATCCCAGGGTTGGGCAGAGCCCCTGGAGGAGGAAATGGCAACCCACTCCAGTGTTCTTGCCTGGGAAATCCCATGGACAGAGGAGCCTGGGGTCTACAGTCCGCGAGGTCCCAATAGAGTCGGACACGACTGAGTGACTAAACCACCACCCTTCTAATATACAAACAGCATTCAGGAGTCATGGTCACAGTGACTCTCAGACTCTGCAGGGTGGGTGGTGTCATCCGCACTGTCCAGGCTGTGGACTGAGGTTCAGCGAGGTGGGGTCATCAGCCCAGAGTCTCAGCTGCTGTGGACTCAGGGCTTCCGACAGCAGGCCGATCTCAGAGCTTGGCACCGTGTGAACGCGCCTCTCTCTGTTTAGGCCTCCCAAATGTCCTCACAGACACAGTTTCACTCAAGGTGATAAAGTGGGACTGGCCAAACCCACCTTGCCACCTGTTCTTGTAAATGAACTTTTACTGGAATGTACCTGCTTGTGTACACATTGTCTGAGCCTGCAAAGCTGAATTCATTTATTACCTGGCCCTTTAAGAGCTGTCAGCTCCGCTGTTCCACTCTGAAGCTTCCTGTGGGGGCCCTGAGGACGCTTGTCTGTTCCCAACCAGCTGTGTCTGTCCCCGCAGTGGGAGCGATGCCGCCTCCATCCGGACCAGGGCCACGCTCAGTGCAGATAAGAGGCACTACATCCTCAACGGTGCCAAGGTACGGCCGTGTGGCCTCCGTGGCCGTGTCAGTGTCTCCATCTGGACCTTCAGTGCACTCCCTGGCCACTCCCCATGCTCCAGGGTCGTTGGGGCAGACACATCACCCCTTGACCGTCTTCCTCTGTTGGAGGAAGAAGTGGGCTCAGAGAGGTTCCGTGACCCACCCCGTCCTGTCCGCCTTGGGGCAGGATAGGTACCACGACATCCCGGCCTCAGAGTCTGCGGGCTTGTGGAGTGCCACCCACCTCGTGGAGCTGTGCTTGTGTGTCTGTTTTTAAATTTTTTCTATTACATGGAATTTGAAGCACACACACACACACGTGTACTGCTGGGAATGTCCACAGCCATCTCCTAGCTCCATTGCCTCCCCTGTGGTGCCGCAGCTCTGGGCAGCGGCCAGGGCGGGCTCAGTGCAACTTTGCAGGGTGGTCACAGCACCGCTGGACACGGAACACGTGATGACGGCTTCTGGGCTTCCCCGGTGGCTCAGTGGTAAAGAGTCTGCCTACAGTGCAGGAGCCACGGGAAACACGCGTTCAGTCCCTGGTGGGGGAAGATCCCCTGGAGAAGGGCAAGGCACTGCACTCCAGTATTGTCACCTGGAGGACCCCCTGGACAGAGGAGCCTGGCGGGCTTCACTCCATGAGGTCACAGAGTCAGACAGGACTGAGGCAGCTGAGCGTGATGACTGCTTACCATCTCCTTGCCACCCGTATTTTTCCAATTGTCTCAAACCTGTTTGGTATTTCTTTTTCTTTCCCCCCAGACAAGTTGCTTGAATCAAAATCCAAGTTCTACACAGAGCCGTTTGTCAAGGAGTCTCTCCCCTTCCTCACCCTCTCCTTTTACTTCCCTCCCACCCCAAGGTGTCCTGTGTTAGAGCCAGAACTGCCACACACACACACACACCCCACACACTGCACACACACACAGAAACTCAGATACACACGCCCCTCCGGGGAAAGCCTCACTCTGCTGTCTTGAGCTGTGATGGGCGGCCGACGCTGATAGGTGGCCTGGAGTCGTTTGGTTTCTCCGGAGTCATTCTGCTTTCTTGCCTCAGGTCTGGATCACCAATGGAGGATTAGCCAACGTCTTCACTGTGTTTGCAAAAACGGAGGTCGTTGATTCCGATGGCTCAGTGAAGGACAAGATGACAGCCTTCATAGTAGAGAGAGACTTTGGTGGCGTCACCAACGGGAAACCCGAGGATAAGATGGGCATTCGAGGCTCCAACAGTGAGTGGTGCTGTGCGCGTGTGCGAGAGATGAAGTGTGTGGTCCATGCATGTGTGTGTGTGCATGTGCAAGAGATGAAGTGTGTGGTCTATGTGTGCGTGTGTGCGAGAGATGAAGTGTGTGGTCCATGCGTGTGTGTGTGTGTGCATGTGCGAGAGAGGAAGTGTGTGGTCCATGTGTGTGTGTGTGTGTGTGTGCGAGAGATGAAGTGTGTGGTCTCTGTGTGTGTGTGTGCATGTGTGAGAGATGAAGTGTGTGGTCCGTGTGTGTGTGTGTGTGTGTGTGTGCGAGAGAGGAAGTGTGTGGTCTCTCTGTGTGTGTGTGCATGTGTGAGAGATGAAGTGTGTGGTCCATGCGTGTGTGTGTGTGTGTGCATGTGCAAGAGATGAAGTGTGTGGTCCATGTGTGTGTGTGCGAGAGATGAAGTGTGTGGTCCATGCGTGTGTGTGTGCGAGAGATGAAGTGTGTGGTCTCTGTGTGTGTGTGTGCATGTGTGAGAGATGAAGTGTGTGGTCCGTGTGTGTGTGTGTGTGTGTGTGTGTGTGTGCGAGAGAGGAAGTGTGTGGTCTCTCTGTGTGTGTGTGCATGTGTGAGAGATGAAGTGTGTGGTCCATGCGTGTGTGTGTGTGTGTGCATGTGCAAGAGATGAAGTGTGTGGTCCATGTGTGTGTGTGCGAGAGATGAAGTGTGTGGTCCATGCGTGTGTGTGTGCGAGAGATGAAGTGTGTGGTCTCTGTGTGTGTGTGTGCATGTGTGAGAGATGAAGTGTGTGGTCCGTGTGTGTGTGTGTGTGTGTGTGTGCGAGAGAGGAAGTGTGTGGTCTCTCTGTGTGTGTGTGCATGTGTGAGAGATGAAGTGTGTGGTCCATGCGTGTGTGTGTGTGCATGTGCAAGAGATGAAGTGTGTGGTCTATGTGTGTGTGTGTGTGTGCATGTGCGCGAGAGAGGAAGTGTGTGGTCCATGTGTGTGTGTGCGAGAGATGAAGTGTGTGGTCCATGCGTGTGTGTGTGCGAGAGATGAAGTGTGTGGTCTCTGTGTGTGTGTGCATGTGTGAGAGATGAAGTGTGTGGTCCGTGTGTGTGTGTGTGTGTGTGTGTGTGCGCGAGAGATGAAGTGTGTGGTCTCTCTGTGTGTGTGTGCATGTGTGAGAGATGAAGTGTGTGGTCCATGCGTGTGTGTGTGTGTGTGCATGTGCGAGAGATGAAGTGTGTGGTCCGTGTGTGTGTGTGTGTGTGTGTGTGTGCGAGAGATGAAGTGTGTGGTCTCTGTGTGTGTGTGTGCATGTGTGAGAGATGAAGTGTGTGGTCCGTGTGTGTGTGTGTGTGCATGTGTGCGAGAGAGGAAGTGTGTGGTCCGTGTGTGTGTGCGCGTGTGAGAGAAAGTATGTGTGTGAGGTACTAAAATGTGTGTGCTACAGGAAATGTGCGTGCGTGTATGCGTGTGTATGTGAGAGAAACTGAGTGAGAGATTGGGGCGGTGAGACTTCCAGGTGAGTTCTCGCTGCCCAGCGGGACGCGCAGCCTCGGGAGGCCGGGCCAGAGGGCTCCTGGTCACGGGGCTCAGTCCCACAGACCCCCGTCTTGCCCTGGGCCCCCTCCTCCTCCGCTGCCCGCTCCCCGCCCAGGCCCGCCTGCAGCCCAGTGCGCTCCTGGCTCACTTGAGACCAGCTTCCTGTACGTGGCCCTCGGCCTGGCCAGAACCACACGGCCCTCACAGGCCCCTCAGGCTGAGGGGCTCAGCCTCTCAGCTCCCTCAGCTCAGACCACGGAGGGTCTGAACGAGCAAGGGAGCCACGTGGCCCGCGTGCGGGTCGGGGGCCGAGCGCCCGGGGCCTCTCCGCTGAGGTCCTGGCTGGCGTGTGTTCCAGCCTGCGAGGTCCACTTCGAGAACACCAGGGTGCCCGTGGAGAACGTCCTCGGAGAAGTCGGAGGCGGCTTTAAGGTGCGTTGCCTGCCGTTCCGGGCTGCTTCCTGCTGCCCGGGCAGGGAGGCTCAGGCTGAGGGCCTGCGGAGCGGAGAGGACTGGGCTTGGGTGTTCCCCCACCCGGCTGGAGGCCGTGTCTGCCTGGAGCGGGCCTGGGTTCCTGCCTGCAGTTCTGGGAGGGCAGCCCACGGAGCAGGGAGTACAGCGCGGGGTCCTGAGTGCCCGCCCTGACCTTGTTTCTTGGAGTTACTGTATCGTTTTTCATGGACAGGTAACTCATGGGGCAGGATTCACTGCCTCCTATGCACGCCGTGGTGGTTTCAGGACTGGCCCTGGGCTCAGCGCCCCAGCCGTGTCTGATGTCAGAACAGCGCCGTCACCCCGGAGCGCAGTGCCACGCCTCCCCTGCCCCGCCAGCCCCCGGCCATCACTGTTGCGGCGTCTGCGTCTGTGGGCCTGCCTGCTGGGGTGTTCCGTTGCGATGCGATCCATGTAGGGCTGCTCTCACGCTCTGTAGCTTAGTCGCAGAGGTGTCGGGTGAATGGAGCACCTCATGTTCAGTTGTCATCAACCGAGGGATGCTTGGGTTGGTTCGTTTTCAGGCCATTTGAATCGTGCTACTGTGAACGCTCATGTGCGTGTTTGTGTGGGAACACTGCTTGCCGTCCTGCTGGGGGCACGGCTGGGGGAGTACAGGGTCGCACGCTGAGCGCTCTGAGGGCCCAACAGACTCTTCCACGGTGGCTGCCCTGTTGCACATTCCCACCAGCAGTGCGTGGACCCTAGGGGTCCAGGTTTTCCACATCTTGCGAGCTTGTACACTCATCCTGTTTTAAATTTTCAATCTGGCCTGGGGTAAGTGTCTTCACCCTGGAGGAAGCTGCCCCCACCTGGGCTGTGCATAGGAGTCAAAGCAGGACTTCCCTGGCCTTATGGACATTAAGAGACTCACCTGAGGGCACCAGCCAGGCCCCCACCGCCCAGGGAGCGGAGCAGAGTGCAGGAGGGGTAGGCGCAGGGGGCATCCTCTGCGGCTGTCACCGAGGGAGGGGCCCCGGGCTCCCCGAAGGCCAGCCCCAGAGAGGCAGTCCAGTGTTGACCTTTCTGAGTTTGCAGAGCTGAAATGTTTGTGCGCATGTAAGAGATGACAGTGGCGTTTCTCACTCACCAGCGAGCCCGTGTGGTCTCCACATGCTGGGCAGTGAGGTTTTCTGAAGTGGAGAGCTGCAGTGTCACCCCTGTGCTGAGATCAGTCACCAGGTCCCCAGGATCGAGCAGTTAGCATTTCTCGCCCTCCCTACTGGGCACCACACTGTGTGACGTGGGTCCTTGCACATACCTTGCACACATGTCCCACTATCCTGAGTTTAATGCCGAGTTTCCGGGTCAGAGGGCCTGAACATTTTAAGTTCTTGGTCTGTGTTGCCACGTTGCCTGCTGGAGAATTGAGCTGTACATGAGGTCTTTGCCCAGTCCTTCTCAGCGCATTTAATAAATTTCTTTTCCACTGTTAGGTGAAAAGTGATGGTTTTAACACACAGAAGGAAATACATTTCTAAAGCCCTGCTTTGTGATGACTGGGCTTGCCCACCAGTCAGCCTCAACACTGCAAAGCACAAAACACTGGGGGTGATTCCAGAGGTGGAGGGTGGGATGGCCACAGGCCCAGGGAGCAGAGGCCAGCGTGCGGCCAAGGAGGACATTCTTGGGGGGCAGAGGCGGCCGGCCAGCGCGATGGGGCGCCGCAGGGGCGGCGCGTCTGGGATCTGAAGCAGAGCTGTAAGCAAGCCGGCTCCGCGGTGGGAAGGTGAAGAGGCGGCAGGATCGGGTCGGGAGGGAGGGATGCCTGGGCCCAGGAGCCCCTTCAGGTCGGCGAGCCTGCCAAGCTTCCATCATCCCCCAGGAGGTGAGGCCTGGCATCCAGCCTTCCCTTCCTGTTGTCGTAAGTGAAGTTCACGATAAACTGCGAAGGGGCCGTGAGGGGACCTTGTTCACGACTGTGAGCTGGCCTCCCGACAGCCCAGTGGGAAGATTCCAGGACCCCAGGTGGGGAGTCGCTTCCCCTCGTAGTCCCGCGTTCTGAGACACAGGAGGTCTGATGTTGGGACTCGGGGGCCCAGGGCCTGTGGGTCACTCTGCACTAGGGCTTACCAAGCTGCCCGCCCCGTGCCAGCTGCCATGGACTCACCTGCCAGGACCCAGTCTGTTGCCCAGTGACTGGAGCAGATGCTTCCAGTCTCCCCAGCCGCACAGGATCTGCGCTGAGAGTCCCCACTCAGCTTATTGAGGAACTCATACATTCACACTGAGAGACACGTTTGCTTAATCCGAGTCACCTCGGTGAGCAGTGTGCACTGCTGCCCCCAGACGCAGCCCCGCCTCCAAGCCTCCACCCGGGGCTCAGAGGCTTGAGAGAGGCGGGCAGGCCCCAGGCCCTCTCGGGGCTTCGAGCCCCCTCTTCCCCACCTCCTGCCCCCACCCCCCACTGGACTGTGCTCCCCTTTGGTCCCCAACCCACCGGGGGCCACCTGCTGCCCGGGGGGCTGCGGTGTCCTTGCCCCTTGGGGTCTGCAGGGGGCGCCTCCCCGGACCCGGCATCTGGCGCATGGGTAACAGTGGGTCGGGAGTTGGGGTCAGAAGAGGACAGAGGTCACCGTGGGAACTGGTGGTGGGGAGCACGTCTGTGGTGGAAGGGCGGGCCCCGTGCACACCAGGCAGGGGCTGGCACCGCCAGGGGCTCACCATTCGGAACCTCAGGCTCTTCACCCCTTAACCCTGACGCTGAGGCGCTTGAGGCAGATGCCCAGTTAGTCTCAGCCCCGGCTCCCTTGCCCCAAGGCACAGAGGGCGTCCCCTTTCTTTCTGGGCTGACTGCAGGGACGTCTGTGAGCATCGCAGTGACCACAGCCTGGTCTTGAGGGATGGAGACTGCTCCCTGGCCCAGGACGCTTAACTCCTCCAAGCACCCCTGTGGTCTTCAAGAAAGCCTCTGGCCAAAGTGGACGAGCGCTATTGCGCTCTGTGCCCCCCAGGGCCCTTGGGCTTCCCCAGCCAGACCCTCGGGATGACCCGCGCTGAGCCCGCTCTCCCTGCAGGTGGCCATGAACATCCTCAACAGCGGGCGCTTCAGCATGGGCAGCATGGTGGCCGGGATGCTCAAGAAGCTGATCGGTAGGTGAGTGGGGGCAGCCCTGCCCCGCCACCCCAGCCCCGGGCTGCCCGGGCAGCAGGGCGGGCCGGTGCTGAGCCGGCCCCTAACAGCCAGTCCCGTTCAAGCCTGGGATCCAGGCTTGATCTGGAAGGAAGGGTGCACAGAGGCGGCCCTGCGGGGCCAGGGTTCACATCCTGGCATGCACAGGATGGGGGGGGCACGTTCTGGGGGAGGTGAGGGCTGCTGAGCAAATGTGTGAATCTGAGCCAGACACCTGCAGGCCTGGTGATGGTGCTCCATGGGTGTCTCATGGCGGTGCTCCGCGGGTGTCTCAGGGCGGGTGGGGGGTGCTCTGCGGGTGTCTCAGGGCGGGTGGGGGGTGCTCCACGGGTGTCTCAGGGCGGGTGGGGGGTGCTCCACGGGTGTCTCAGGGCAGGTGGGGGTGCGCCACGGGTGTCTCACGGCGGGTGGGGGGTGCGCCACGGGTGTCTCACGGCGGGGGTGGTGGTGAAGTCAGGTTGGGAACCCTGGTCTCCCGGCCTCTGGATGGTTCCTTTCTTCTAGTAGGGTACCTGAAACCCAGAGCTCCCTCCCTTTGCCAGTGAAGTTAGAACGGCCTGCTAGGGTCTCGGGGCATGAAGCATCACTGTTGGCTTTGCTTTGCCGGAGGGATGTGGCTGAGGCTCAGGCATGGGGCGGGCCGCTCGCCACAGGGCACTCGGGCGGTGTCGGTTTACAGAAGAGGAGACCTGGACTCACAGGGGGCAGCGATTTGCCCGAGGCCTTGCCCCCGTCAGCCTGCATGCTCGGGGCCCATCTCCCTGAGCTGAGCTGCTGCCATGGCCCTGGGTCCATCTGGACTCTGTTGCCTTGTCTGGAAAGCTTCTCAGGGCGAGAGCTCTGCTGTCGTGCTCAGAGGACGCGGAGCCCCTGGGATCCTGGGAGTGTGGGAGCCCGTCTTGGGAGTGAGTGGTGTCTGGGAAGGCTGTGGGCGCTCGGTGCCTTCAGGGCTGGCCTGGGACCCCGAAGCACAGCTGGGCCACGGGCCGCCCCCGCAGGTGTGAGCCCCTCTGTGGCGCCCCGGCCTGGGGCCCTGAGGTCAAGTGTTGATGAGGGCAGGGAGGCCACATCCCCGCATGTCTGATCCTGGCCCCTCTGCCCCTCCATCCCCGACCCTGGACACCACTCAGAGGCGACAGGCACCCTTCCCTGGAGACGCCGGAAGGCAGGGCTGTGATGTCCAGAGTGTTTGGTCTCAGGGCACCCGCCTCTCGTGGGCCCCGTCTGAGTGTGTGTGGATGATGACTTAGGAGAGCATTTCAGGACCGCAAAAATTATGGGGTTTTTTTGGCTCTTGCTCAGAAATGACTGCCGAGTACGCCTGCACGAGGAAACAGTTCAACAGGAACCTCAGTGAGTTCGGCCTGATTCAGGTGCGGAGGGGCGAGGGCTGGGTGGGCAGAGTCCCACCCAGCCCCTCCCGGCGGGGATTTGGGGCAAAGGCGAGCTTGGCCGTGGGCGCGCTCTGTGGCTTGGCAGGCCTGGGTCTCTGCGCAGCAGGTCTGTCTTGACTGTTCTTCTGAACACTCCAGGAGAAGTTTGCCCTGATGGCACAGAAGGCCTACGTGATGGAAAGCATGGCCTACCTCACGGCGGCGATGCTGGACGCGCCTGGCTTCCCCGACTGCTCCATCGAGGCCGCCATGGTGAAGGTAACCCGCGCACAGCGCCCCTGCCGGCCTCCCGTCAGTCAGCGGCTGCCTGGGCACTGACGCGGCGCCCCCGCCAGCCACCCCGGGACGCCACTGGGGGCAGAGGGGCAGAGGGGCAGGGGTGCAGAGGGCAGAGGGGCAGGGGGGCAGAGGGCAGAGGGGCAGGGGGCAGAGGGCAGAGGGGCAGGGGGGCAGGGGTGCAGAGGGCAGAGGGGCAGGGGTGCAGAGGGGCAGGGGTGCAGGGGGCAGAGGGACAGAGGGAGAGAGGGGCAGAGGGGCAGAGGGCAGAGGGGCAGGGGGGCAGAGGGCAGAGGGGCAGAGGGGACAGAGGGGGCAGAGGGACCGAGGGGCGGAGGGGCAGGGGGGGCGGAGGGGCAGGGGGGCAGGGGGACTGAGGGGCAGAGGGACAGAGGGGCAGGGGGGCAGAGGGCAGGGGGGCAGAGGGGCAGAGGGACCGAGGGGCAGGGGGACAGAGGGACCGAGGGGCGGAGGGACCGAGGGGCGGAGGGGCAGGGGGGCGGAGGGGTGGGGGGGCGGAGGGACGGAGGGGCAGGGGGGTGGAGGGGCGGGGGGCAGAGGGGACAGAGGGGCAGGGGGGCAGAGGGCAGAGGGCACAGAGCCCCGCTGGGTTCCTGCTGGGCTTCGCCAGGTTGCCGCCAGCTGACCGCTGATCATGTGAAAGGAGGAAAGTAGAGCTCTACATTCCCCAGAAAGAGCAGCAGGGCTGCCTTGCGAAGGCCTGCCTTCTTCTAGCTTATGGCCTTCCTGTGTTTTGGTATCAGAATTGCCTTTCATGAGTGTTTGGCCCGGCAAACGCCAGTGTTTCCTATCTTTTGTCTTGGGCAGCAGGAGAAGTCAGTTTGGGGTCACCCGTGAGATGACAGGAAGCGCCCCTCCCCGGGTCGGGTGGTCCCGTCCCGAAGCCCACTCTCCATCTAGGCCTCCCTGCGCGGCCCCTGCCGGCGGCCCGTGCCGACCTCTCCCCGCATCCATGGCAGGTGTTCAGCTCCGAGGGCGCCTGGACGTGTGTGAGCGAGGCGCTGCAGATCCTCGGCGGCTCGGGCTACATCAGGGACTACCCGTACGAGCGCCTCCTGCGCGACAGCCGCATCCTGCTCATCTTCGAGGTGAGCCCGCTCTGCCCGCCGGTGCGAGCCCCTCCCACCTGCTTGCATGCCCCCAGGGGTGTCTGCACCTCCCCGGGTCCCCCCTGAGGGCGCGCCCAGGGAATCCGCTGTTGTGAGTTCACATGCTGGGTGGAGGGAAGGAAGGGCCTGGGGCCCAGAAATGCCCGGTTGTCTGGGCCTGAGCAGTGGAGGACAGCTGCAGAATACCAGTGCAGGGGGCAGAGGTGTGACCCCTGGAGGGCCCGGGGCCTCAGGGAGCCAGCACACTCAGCCTGGGGGCAGAAGGGCCTTTGACCAGGCCAAGGGGCCGGCAGCGAGTGGCATGTGCCAGGCCTCGATGGAACCTCACACCAGCACAAGGTGGAGCAGAAGGACAGAAGGAGCAGCAAACAGCTCTGGTCCTGGAGCCCGGGCAAGCGGGTGGCCAGTGAGTGCCAGCCAGAGGACCCCAGCTAGCATTCAGAGCGCCCTGGAACTTACTATGAGGGTGGGGAACTCTGGAGCAGAGAACAGCTTGTTTGCGTTTGTGTTCCAAGATCCCCCGAGGGGTGGGTGGCAGGGGTGTAGGCTGAGGCTGTGGCCGTGGCGGGGGAAGGCAGGGTTTCAGGTTGCACATGGGTGTGCACTGGCAGGCCTGTGCACACACGCGAGGCTGGGCCCCTGGGCGGCTCCTCCACAGAAAGGAAGACCGTGCTGGCCGCCAGTGGCCTGCATCCTCGCCCGTGGTGGATGGATGGTGTAGCCAGCCAAGGCCACGGGCACTTTCCGTGTCACGGCGCGGCTGCCCAAGACCACTCTCCTGAGGCCCTCCCCCGCCTGGACGTGTCGGTCCTCCATGGCCAGTGGGGTGCTCAGCGGGGGTGCAGGGCCCTAAGCGTGAAGCCCAGGCTGCCCAGGACGGGCTCGGGTCAGCCTGGAGGCCGCCCTGCTCCCACCACCTGTCGGAGGAGCCTCTCCAGGAGCCAGCCCGGCGGTGTGGCCTCAGTCCAGCCCCCGCCCCTCTGACCCACAGCACCATCACGCGCAACGGGCACAAGCCACCCCCAGTGTGCCTCCCAAGGTCCCATGACTCAGGGTGCTGGGACCACGGCCCCGTGGGTGTTGGCACCCAGTACAGGCGAGCAGCCAGCCACTTCCCAGAGGAGCCGGGCCTGGACCAGAATGGCGCCGGGCACTTGCTGTGCCCTGGGTCCAGCATCCCTCGCCACCCGGGCAAGCTGCCTCTCCCTTAGAGAGACGGAGGCAGGGGCTTGGGGAAAGGTGTGCCCCTGCAGGGTGGTCGTGCGTGGGGCAGGGCCCCCGGGGGGCAGTTCCTGCCTGCCACAGCCCCGCGCCCAGCTGGTTCCCGAGGGTTAGCGGGCAGTAGCATGGCCTAGCTGGCCACAGGGGTGGCCTCTGACCTGGACAATGTCGGCCCCAGGGAACCAACGAGATCCTCCGCATGTACATCGCCCTGACAGGCCTGCAGCACGCCGGCCGCATTCTGACTGCAAGGGTCAAGTAGGTGCCGCATCCACCTTTGCCCCCTTGGCCCCCTGCCCAGCAGAGGTCTGTGCCGGAGCGGCTGGAGGAGGGGCCGCCCCTCCCGGGGCGGGGGGACAGCCTGGCGGGGCTCGGCTCACCCCTGGGCTTGGGGGCGGGCGGTGGCTGCCTGGGGAAGCCACTGGGGTCCTGTCCCGAGCTCACCCTGCCGTCCGGCCCGCGGCTTTGAGAACCAGGGCGACGAGCTAAGTCTCAGATGGCCACCTTGGCACCTCCTGGCTGCCTCCTGACGGGGGGGCGGGGCCCTGGCGTAATCTGGAGCCGCCATGGGCGCCCTCAAGCTGTGGGCGACAGGAGCCAGTCTCGGGGCCCCAGCTCACAGGGCCTGCGCTCTCTGCAGTGAGCTCAAACGGGGCAACGTGACCACCATCATGGAGACCGTGGGCCAGAGGCTTCGGGACTCCCTGGGCCGCACCGTGGACCTGGGTCTGACAGGGAAGCTTGGAGTTGTACACCCCAGCCTCGCGGTGAGTGGGCTCAGCGGGAAGCCGGCCCCTGTCGGTATGGAGCACTGGGGAAGACCAGCTGGTCCACGGGACCCCGGGTGGCCCTGTCCGCACCGTCGTGATGGCGGGAGGGCCTGGGCACCACAGCGGGCAGGGCCGAGCTGAGACCTCCCCGGCCCCGCAGGACGGCGCCCACAAGCTCGAGGAAAACGTGTACTACTTCGGCCGCTCCGTGGAGACCCTGCTGCTTCGCTTTGGCAAGGTACCTGGGGCGGGGACACGGGCAGGCTAGTGTCCGCCTTGGGCCCAGGCCTGGAAGGCAGTCCTGGTCACCCTGGAGCGCTGGGGTGCAGAGTGGGGCTGGCCGTGGCTGCTTGCCCTGTGGGCCACTCGGCTCGCCAGAGGCGGGGGTAGAGGAGCCCTGCTAGGGGTACCTCCCAGTTGGCGAGGGGCCCTTAGGCCAGGAGGGGCAGCCCCATGTGGCCCTGGGTCTGGAGAGCCGATCCGTGTCTGCTGAAGTGATGGAGCTTCGGCCTCTGGCCTCAGCCAGCCTCAGGGACGTGTCTCCACCCTCGTTTGGATGGAGCTAAGGGAAGGCCCCGCTCCCCGGGGTGCAGAGTGAGGCGCAGAGTGGGCCCCGGTGAGGACTGTGGGGCAGGGGTCCCAGGGGCCACGTCTCCCCCCTCCCTGTGTTCCCAGGCCATCGTGGAGGAGCAGCTGGTCTTGAAGCGAGTGGCCAACGTGCTCATGAACCTGTACGGGATGACAGCTGTGCTGTCTCGGGCCAGCCGCTCCATCCGCCTGGGGCTGCGTGACCACGACCACGAGGTGAGCCCCGCCAGGCCACAACCCTGCTGCGGCTTCATCTCACTGCGCTTTACTGAGGCTGGCGGGGCGGGGGGGTGCAGGCCCGGGTCCTGGAGGGGTGAGCGTGTGGTGCCCTCTGGATGACCTGGAGCCACAGGAGGTTGGCGGCGTTGCCGAGTTGCGGCCGTGGCGGGGGCCGGCGCTCTCAGCTCCAGCAGGCGGACTGTGCTGCTCAGGACGCAAGGCTGCCTTTCGCCTTCCTGCTGGGGAGAAGGGGGGTGACGGTCGGGGTCCTGGGCCCAGGCGTCCTCATACCACTGTGTGTGTGCTCGTCTGGGCGTGCTCTGGCCCACGGCTTTGGTGTGGGGGCGCCCTCATGCCAAGGAGGTGTTGAGTCACCCCCCCGGGGACAGGGCTCATTAGAATCTAAAGCCATGGCTTCTCAGCCCGGCCGCCTGACCAGCAAGGTGCCTGCCTGGGCAAACAGACGGAGGTCGGGCTGTGCAAGGCCCAGACTGCAGGGCTCCCGGCAGTCATCCTCGGGGACGTTGGTTCTGGCAGGTTCTGTTGGCCAACATCTTCTGCTCAGAAGCTTACCACCAGAATCTCTTCACCCTGTCTCAGCTGGACAAGCGTGAGTGGGTGCTGGGCTTGGGGGGCGGGGGGACCCTGCACCTGCTGAGCAGCAGATGGAGCGGCGGCTCCAGCCGCTGTGGGCGCCGAGGTCACCAGGCACCGTGGGGAGACGTCCGAACCACTGGGGCTCCCGCCCTCCTTTCTCCCTGAGCCCAGAGGCGCCTCCCCGCGCGGCACTGGTGCCTTCAGGGCCCCTCCACAGGACGAGCTGACCTTGGAGAAGATGCTCCAGCAGTGTTTCTGCTGCCCCAACACTCTCCTGTTTCCCTAGATTCTCCAGAAAACCTGGATGAACTGGTCAAGAAGGTGTCCCAGCAGATCCTGGAGAAGCGGGCCTACATCTGCACCCACCCTCTAGACCGGGCGCCCTGAGGCGGGCCCATGCCCCCACGCCGCCCTGGACACGCCCACAGCAGCCCGAAGGGGGAGAGCTTGGTTTATTACAAGTTGACCGTTTCTCCTCTTCACCCGACAGGCCTTTTCTGGGCCCCCGACCTGTAGGCCCTGCTGCGATCTCGGCCTGAGTGGACGCGGGGTGAGCACGGAGCTGCTGAGACGCGCCGGCTCGGGGGGGCGCCCGGAGGAGGCCGGGGGCACAGGGCCCAGTGTTCTCCAAGAAACAGCTCGAAAACTGCATGCGTGTCGTTGGTTTTAATTTGGAAGGAAAGGCGCTTAAAATGTGCCAGAAGCGTTCAGCACAGTGTGTTTGCCCTTCAAGTGTCAGCAGTCTAGACACGCGTCTCCTCTAGCCAGCCTTGAGTGAACAGAGCTTGACCCTCAGGCCTGCTGTCCGGGGCCCTTGGTCCTCAGCGTGAGGGCTGTGTGCCTCAGCGCTGGGCTGCAGGGGCAGCGGGGCTGAACCGGGGCTCCTCGGCCTCCCCTCCGGCTCGAGTGGGCCTATGTCTGGGCCCTGTCTGTTCCTCTCTGACATCCTTGTTCCACGTGCTCACCTGGCGGGCTTCAGACCCTGGTCTGGCTCCTGGGTGGTTTGTTCAGAAAGCTCACCCTCCACGTTGCCGTGAGGCGCCCAGGCTCTCCTGCTCCCCTGAGGAGTCACCGCCCGCAGGGGCCCCCAGGACTGTGACAGCCTTTCTCCCAAAGGTCCGACTTAGGGCTTCGTGGGGAAGTTGTTTCTAAAACTGTGAGTGATTCGTGGGCGAGGAGGTGCTCTGCCCAGGATGGAGAGCTTGTGTCTCCTGTGTGGAGCCGCTGGGAGGGGCCCAGCTGCACGGGAGCCCGCCCAGGGCCCACTCCGTCCGTGCGGGGCTGTTCTCACCGCATGGAGATGGGGGGAGCATGCGCCTGCCTGTGCTCCCAGGGACCTCATCCCAGAGGGGACGGAGAGCCGAGCCGGGCCTTCCCGGGCTGAGCCACCCATGAGACTCTGGGCCAGGGACCCCCAACAGGGAGCAGGGGTTTTCCGCAGCCCAGAGCCTGGGAGGTGGCGGCCCCCGTGGTGCATCAGCACACGCTCCTGGTGCAGGCTCCATCGCCAGCTGCCCATGGGAGCGCAGGAACAGAGGAGATCCGAGTGGCCCTGACCCAGCCTCCTGGGCAGGGCGTCTGGCAAACCTAGTTGCCAGATAGTCAGTTCTTTCCCTGAACTAAGGTTCTGGCTCTGTTAAGTCACACATTTTTGGCTCTCTCTCAGCCTATAAACATCTGTGGTCCCTTCTCATATACAAGGAGCTGACGAGGATGGAGGGGTCGTCATGGCCTTTCCCCGTGCAGGGACAAGTGGGCCCGAGAGGGCCCCGAGGAGCCTCCGGAGGCGGTCGTGGACATCACGGGGCTGAGCGTGAGAGGCCTTGGGCCTGCCTCCCAGCCTCGCCCTCTCACGGCTGAGAGGGAAGGTGCAGAGTGGAGCCGGGTGTACCACCCAGAGCCCAGGCCCTGCTCTCACCTGCCCTGGGCTTGGGCACGGGCGGAAGCTCCAGGAACGCCGGCGGCCGCGTATACAGGTCAAAGTCCTGGTGGCGCCGGTCCCAGCCCCACCTTTCCCGCTGCAGCACCGGCTCCAGCAGGTTGGCGAACAGGGCCTTCTCCCTCCACTCCTGTGTCGGGGAGCAGCAGGTCAGGGGAGGCCCCATGGACGCCCACCCCAGCCCCACTCTTGCCACCCACCTCCGTGGCAGCGCTGATGGGCGGCAGCCCCAGGGGCCGGGTCGTGCCCATGCTGTGGAGACCCGCCGTCTGGAAGCCGATGGGCGTGCGCCAGGCCTGGCGGGACTCCCTGCGGGCCCTCCTCTCCTCCTCCTCCGGGTCCAGGGGCCCCACTGTGGCCGACAGGTACTTCTGCGAGTACGTGAACCTGCTGCCCGGCTCCTGTGAACGAGCGCAGACGGGTGGGTGCTGTGCCCGGGAGCGGGCCAGGTGCCAGGGCCCTGTCCCCTGGGTCAGAGGCTGCTCCTGACATGGCCAGTGCTGGAGGGAAGCCTCAGCCCAGGCTGAACAGGGAGCTGCGAGAGCCAGGGGCCTGCGGCCGTTCACAGCCACGCACGGCCAGGAAGGCACTGGGCCCAGCTCCCACTGTAGGTGGAGGGTCCACATTTAGTGGGAACACAGCCGCTCCCCCTGCACCAAGATCCCCGCTGACTGCCGGCCACGGGGTCTCCCGCCGCCCCGCCCTGCCCGCAGTGGGCACGCTGGGCTGCTCTGGGCCCCGCACTGTTACTCACCTTGGCCATCTCCCGATACAGCTCCTTCTTCGCCAGCTCCACGGAGTTCAGGGTCTGGACACTGTAGTTATGCACGGTGTGCGTGCCCGGGGCTGAGACCCGCATCACCCTGGCCGCAGAGCTGGGGGGCTTCCTGCTGACCTGGGGGGCCGCCGAGATGTTTCTCTGGAGAAGGAGACGCCGGTCATCCCCCACACACGGCGCCCCTACAGCCCGCGGGCGTCGGTGAGGTGACCTCTGGGAGGCGGTCACACCGCCAGGTTCCCGCAAGCAGTCTGGAGCCCGCCCAAAGCAAGACATGCAGCCCCTCCGTCCACACTGGAGATGAGAGGGCCGCAGCGGGAGCCGCGGGTTGGGCTAGTCTCCAGAGGCCTCACCACGTCTGTGAGCCACACATGCGGGGGGGCGGCGAGTGCCTTGCGTCCAGCATCCGGCTGTGCTCACAGCGGGGGCCAGGTGACTTGACCCGTCTGCACCGGGGGAAGGGCAAGCCCCCTGCTCAGCCTCGCCCCAGGGCCGGCGGGGCCCGGGGTCCTGCCGGTGCTCCTGACCCAGGGTGGGAAGCGGACAGTTGCCTGGGGGGTGCAGACAGTGGCCGTGACTTCGTCTGGGGGCCTGGGGCTGACGGGAGCGGTGGAGTCCTGACTGCCAGCCGGAGTGAGTAGTGCACGTCATGCGAAAGGCCATACGTGGAGCCAGGTGGCTCGAAGGGACAGGACAAGAAGGTAAGATCAGGATCAGTCATTTAGCAACACCGGGTGAAGATGTGGTGCTGTGAGGCAGAGGTCGAGACAAAAAAGCAAAAGTACCGTCTATGAAAGCCTCAGGGCCGAGAGGAGACGAGTGAATGAGATGTACTGCCGGGGCGACACGGTTCCAGAATGAGCTGGGGAGCTGGGAGATCAACCAGACAAGCTCCCCGAGAGGCAGCCTTGGATGAGAGGGCGACCCTAAGGACCCAGAGTGTGGAAGGCGGAAACACGAGAAGTGGCCCCCGAGAAACAGGAAGGAGGGGCCGGGGAGCAGAGGAGAGGCTGCAGGAACAGTGTCGGGGACCCGGGGTCAGACACGGCGGGGGGAAGGACGTGAGGGAGAGTGCACGAGCGTGACAGCATCCTGGGGTGACGCGTGCAGTCACACACAGGCTCCTACGCCACCCAGGATGAGAGACTCTCCGGCTTCCAGCCTGCTGCTGTTTCGCAATCCAATCTCAAGATAAGCTTGTGTAAATGAAGGCTGAGAGCGGGGCGGGGTGAGGCGTATCCAGGGCTTTTCCAAAAGAGAAAGGGTTCATGAGAGCTGCCTCAGGGCATTAGGTGCAACTGAGAACTGAGGTGCTCCCAGGAGCTGCAGCGGATTCCAGAAATACAGGTGGGTCCACAGAGCCACGCTGCTAGAAGCCAGGCCACCTTGGGAAACACCCACAGTGTGGGTGATCCTCCTGACCCCAGTCCATCCTTGGGTGAACCGTCAAACTACAGGGACGGTCCAGCTCTGAGCGCGGCGAAGTGCTGACCACACGGACGGGGTCAGCGGGTTCATCTCACGAAGGGAAGGAAGGGAGGCGGACTGGTGTCTGACCCTCTCCGGGAAAGGCTAGGTTTGTCTCCAAGGCCGGGGGGCTCAGTGTACAGACTACGAAGGCAGGGATAAAATGACACGGGGAGCCTGAGCCCTGAGCCCAGCTGCTCTGGCCCCAGTGTGGGGCTGGGGGTTGTGCAAGGCCGTCTCTCCTGGAGTCCTCGGCTGCTCAGTCCCTGATACCTTTACTGCCCTGGGAGGAGCGGGGCGAGGTGCTGATCTGATCCTTGGCGGCTCTGCATCCCCTCTGCCCCGCCCCCCACCCAAGGGTTCACACAAGCCCCAGACCCCACAGGACTCTGAAAGGGATGAGATAAAAATGTGAAGAAGTGCATGTGTACATTTCCTTCCTTCCTTCCTTCCTTCCTTCGTCTAACCTAGACATAGAAATCTGGAACCATTGCTGCACAAAAATGACCTCCTTCCTCCTACCCGATGGCACGCTGCCCTGTCCCAAACCCGTCCATGAAATAAAGAAATGACTAGACAGCCTGCATGCACGCGCCGTACCTGAGTCTGGCGACGCTGACCACAAGCACCACACTGCCAACTGAGCAGGACTCCAGCGGGGCATCGGCGTCACATTCGACGAAGGGGGAGGAAAACCATGCCTCCTTTTGTCCCTCTGACCTCCCTGACTCGGGCCGCGAAGCCCATCCTCGGGGTGGGGGTCCCCACCGCCCGACGCCTGGGAGGGAGCTTCTGCTTGGCACCAGAGTCCCAAGCAGCGTGTCAAGGACTTGGGTGGCCTCCCGCCTCCAGGGGCAGGGGTTCCCTGCTGCCTCCTCCTCAGCTGCTGCGGCCCCGCCTGGGATGAGTCTGGAGGGTGGGGCTTGGCGGGGAAGATGCGGGGAGGTGCGCCCAGGTTGTTGGCTCGGGCACACCCCTTGAAGGCACGGCTCTGGAAGCCCGCCTGCCCTGGGGCACCGCTTTGCCCGGGGCGCCCGAGGCGGGCAAGGAAAGGTGCTGCCATCCTGCAGACACTTCTGGGAGCTGCAGCTGGGCCACCGGCGCTTCCTGGCACCCCGCATTCGTAAGGCCCGGGCAGCGCAGGGGGCAGGGCCCAGCGGCCATCCGAACAGCCCGATTTCAGGAAGCCGCGAGCCACAGGGC